TCCCCTAAACCGTGGAGTACATCCCCTATCTCCTCCAACACGACACAATGCATATAAACAATAATTATACACATCATCACACAATACATAAATTTAATGTATTCTTTCAACCGTCATACTCAATGACACATTTCAGTGATTAGTTTCAGTTTGCCTAATCATCATGCATTGTCTACAACAATCAAGACTATCCTCCACCGATAGCCCAAAGCAGTTATTTCTAAACAAAAAATAAATGCACAAAATGGATATTAAATCAACATTTCAGTTTGGTGAGCGAAAAAAGATCCAACTACACCCTCTAGTCCCTTCCCTTTCCAATTTCCACATTCTCAATTTAATCCCTCATTTTCAACAATTAATTATACAAATTAACTAATCAATGTAATTAGGGCATTTTCCATAATTAACATTTCAACCCCTACGGTTTCATTTTCATCAATGTTTCAACATTAATTTCATTTCCTCATGCCAAACATGCATTTAGGTTTTACAGAATTAAAAACCCCAACTTTTGTAAAGTTACACAAAGGCCCAAACTCTCTCAAAATTACCCAACAACCCCCAGCATATCAAAATGCCAAAATTTAAAGACAAAGCTCATAAAGAAGAGTAGGATATCCCTACCTCAAAAGATGACTACCAACCAAGAAGGTGAAGAAGACGAAAATGCTCCAAACCACGAATTTCTCGGATCAAAAGATAGCCCTCGACGATCAACAACTTTTTTATAAAGGCCAAAGGTGAGGAAATCACTCCTACTAGATCAATACCTAGAGAGAAGGTAGAGTTCTAGAGAGAGGGGCTCTCAAAATGGGTTTTAGAAAAAGTAGGAGAGAAAGAAAAGTGAAAAGTGATTTAAAATCACCCAGCGGATAACTCATATACGCATGACCCGCTCGAGCGTAGAATAGAGCGCTCGAGCGTAAAGCACAAACATCTGATCCCGCTCGAGCGCATATATGACCGCTCGAGCGCCAAGAAACAAAAGCAAAACACATCCGCTCGAGCGTGAAAACCAGTCCGCTCGAGTGCAGATTTTCATCTCCCAGAACTTCTCAGAAAAAGGACTACCCGCTCGAGCACCAAACATCCCGCTCAAGCGCGACCCGCTCGAGCACAAGAAACCCGCTCGAGCGTAGAAAACACACCTGCAGAAGTTTTGCAGGGTCACGAAATACTGGAAGTGTGTAAACCCCGCTCGAGCGCAAGAAGACCCGCTCGAGCGGACCGCCTAAAAACTGTTGGGCAACAAGAAATTGAAACCAAGGCCTAACCAACCTGTAACAACCATGCCCAAAACATCCTAAAACTCAATCAAGCGGGATTAAAGGACGACAACAAGATAGATACAATTACTACCTTCACGGAACCGAGTCCGGAACACAACAGAATAGAAAAGGTACAACCGGGATCGCTATAGAGAGAGAGAGAGAGAGTATCTTAGAGAGAGAGGGTCTCAACTTTAGGTTTTGGGAAGAAAAGATCTGAAAAAGTGATGTAAAAAGTAATTTTTGCGATCTGATATACGTACAGTCCGCTCAAGCGCAAGTGTTGACGCTCGAGCGTCAAACACAATAAGTTGTTTCGCTCGAGCGCAAGAAGTCCCGCTTGAGCACAGAATACACACCTCCAATACTTTTGTAGACAACAGACAAACCGCTCGAGCGCAAGAAAGGCCGCTCGAGCTTAGTAAACGCCGCTCAGGAATCGAAAACATCCCTCCAGTACTTTTGCAGATGTGCAAAGTACTGAGAGATTGCAAATCCCGCTCGAGCGCAAGAAGAACCGCTTGAGAGGAGGACCAAAATTCTGGGCAACACAAGGTTTGGAAACCAAGCAACCAACCTATTCCAAACACACTCAACACGTCCACATGACCAAATTTAAGGAGGAATAAAGAGAAAAAGACAATCAACAACATTCAGAAACCATAAACCCGAGTCCGAACTACCACAAGTGTCGGGTCAAAACCGGGATCACTATAAAATAATTAAAATTTAAAAAAAAAATCTTATCTAAAGCCAAAACAAATTAGAATCATCATGATGTCCAAACGCTCCATACGTATAAAGGTTGTAAATCTCATACTCATTGTTAGAATTAGGATTGTAAACGAGTCAAGTTGAATCATATAATAGGTTATTCAAGTTTAATTTGAAAAACTTATCGAGTTTGAAAAAATATATATAAGTTTGTCTTGTTTACCATTTGTGCCAAACCCAAATGAGTTTTAATAGAATGGAGTTTGAGCAACAAATTGGTATTTTATTGTCCATTTAAGTTTATAGAACTGAGTTCGAGCTAAACTCAAAAAATCAGCGAGTTTCAAAATGTGTTTAGTTTTAACTTATTTATATAACAAATCATTCTTCAATTATTTTTTAATGAGCCGAATATAAGTCGAGTTCAAACAATTTGATTTGTTCTACCATCTTAACTTAAATAGATATGCCAAGAAAATGAATATTAAATTAAATAAGAAATTATCAATATAAAAAATTGTCAAGGCACCATGGTGAATTTTTAAAATAATTTTTTTTTCTTTTTCATAGGTCTAATACTTAGATCTACAACATAATTTGCCTTATCTTAAAAATAAATAATAAGATTATGGAACACAGATTATTAATGTCACGCCCTCAAAATTCAACCCATTATATGTATATCATCAACATGCATTATTTAAAGAAAACAATTTATTAATTCATTCATCAGAGTATTACTAAATAAAAACATTACATGTAACATCAAATTAAATGCCCTATGGGCTTACATCTTTCCAAGCCAACACTTGGACACAAAATATGAGTTCTAACTCAAATACAAATAAAGCCCTAGGCTTGATTATTTATCAAATAAAAACAAACAACTAAAGATAGTCTTCAAAATCCAAATCCTTCCAAGCTAAGTCCTGGGAGGTAGCTTATCACCTGGACCTGAAAATGATGTTCCCATAAAGGGTGAGCCACAGCCCAGTAGAAATATACTAAACCAAATATAAGCATTGAATAAAGCATCAGTATTTAATAGATGGTTAACCAAGATAATCAATTACATCATTATACAGTCTCATGACACTAATGACTAAAACACGTTTTACTTTCCAACATTATCAATATGGCTCAGAACCTGGCCAAACTTACAACAGTGAACTATATGTATATCATATTCACATTCTTCTAATGTCAACAAACAATTGAGACTCAGGCTCAAATCAAAACACTTCATACTTCCAGTTTGATACACATTTTAGTGCTGTATCAATAAAACACTTCAATAAAAATAAGCACACATAAAAGTGATGCTAATAGAGTCCGTCCCCTATCTCCTCCCAAACAAAATCCGGTTTAGAGGTCCATCCCCTATCTTCCCCTAAACCGTGGAGTACATCCCCTATCTCCTCCCACACAAAACAATGTATGCAAACACATAACATATACAACACACAATCAATACACATAATATCTGTATTCAATCACGACTATCCTCCACCGATAGCCCAAAACAGTTATTTCTAAACTGAAAATAAATACATCAACAATTCAATAGGCGAGTGATTTAAATTATCCAACTACGCCATTTAATCAATGAATTCCTCAATTCCATGAATTTAACCATATTTTTCCAATTCCATGAATTTATTATACAAATTAACTTATTAATACAACTGGGGTTTTTTCCAAAATTACCAAAGTACCCCCAACATATCAAAATACTAAAACTTAGAACAAAACTTATAAGATGGAGTAGGAAATCCCTACCTCGAAGAAATAGCCCCAAAAGACCAAAACTTAGAACAAAACTTATAAAATGGAGTAGGAAATCCCTACCTCGAAGAAATAGCACCAAAGGAGAAGATGGAGGTGAAGACCCAAACTCCAAAGTGCTCCAAACTACCAACAATTCAGATTAAAACGAAGCCCTCGACTCACACACTCTTTTTAATGAAGGATCTAGGGTAGAAACACACCCTAAGTGGATCAAATCTAAGAGAGAAGGTAAGCAGGGTGAGAGAGAAGTCGGACCTTAGGGTTTGGAATCTAAAAAGAGGATGAAAAACTGATTAAAAACCCGCTGCTGTCTAATTAAACTGGACAGGCTCGCTCGAGCGAAGACTTGGTCGCTCGAGCGACCAGACACACGAAAACCACGCTCGAGCGAAGAAAAGCTCGCTCGAGCCAAGAATGCAATGCTACAGGTCTGAAACCCTGGAGCACGCTCGAGCGACAGAATGCTCGCTCGAGCAAGGAACTCGAAAACAAACACCTCGCTCGAGCGAAGAGACTCTCGCTCGAGCGAATAAGCACTGCCCTCAGGTCTAAACCAGACGCAGTCGCTCGCTTGAGCGAAGCAAATCTGGATCGAGCCAGAAGACAGAAAAACAAACCTGGCTCGAGCGACCCAATCCTGGCTCGAGCGACCAACCCAAAAACTGGGCAGCAACACTTGATTTACGAATCCAACCAACCTGAAACAAACCTGCCCAACACATCCTATAACTCCAAATAAGGAAATAAGGAATGACGACAACAATTATACAATGACAGAATCTACGGAACCCAAGTCCGGATACAATAATCAAATGGGAAAAGACCGGGGTCGCTATAATTAAAGGCAAATAGAAAAATAATGACGAAAGATGGAAAACAATGTGAAGAGCTGATAACAAAAAGGTGTTTAGTTAATAATTAAGCAAGACAATAAATATTTCAGAAGAATACGGAGATATGCAATTCTCAATTTGCTTGCCTATTGCTTTTCATTTCCGCTCATACATGATTAAGCATGCATTTGGAAACTGTTGCAATTATAATTTGTTGCTTATCCACAATTTTGTAACAGTCATTAACCTCAAGTGTTGTAAACCACTTTACAGGTTGCTTTCCCAGTCTTGGAGGTTTTGAAAATTTGGGTTTTGCCTAACATAATAGAGATATGGGGCAATCAATTACTCATAGCCTCAGAAAAAGAATCAAAATCCTTTTGCCAACTGAAAGATATGGTGGTTTCTAAATGTGAGAAATTGGTACATGTGGTTCAGTTCAATATGCTCCCACGACTGCAAAATCTGATAACATTTAGCGTAGATAATTGTCCAAAGATGGAAGCGATAGTCTCAGAGAAAGGAAAAGAAGGAACCACCAATAATGATATCATTGTGTTCTCTCAATTAACAACTCTTAATCTTTCTGAGTTGGTGAGCCTTAAAAGTTTCTACAACGGGCCTAGAAGATCTAAAGCACAACCCTTGTTCAACCACCATGTTTGATTTTCCTAATTTATTTTATTAACCCTGGCCATGGGAAAACGTGCACACACACACACACAAAAAAATAAAAAATTCCTTTTCAATTAGAATTTTAAATTTGAAGCTTATTTGATTATTCTCTTTCTATCCAAATGCAAATAAAAGTAAAATAATTTCAAGGTGGATATGCTAGGGGCGTATGATGGAAATTACAATATTACCCAAACAAAAATATATATGAATTCTAAATTTAGCACTATATTTTTATTTTGAATATGAATCTTAATATGATTTTATTTGACTAAAATATATATAAGTTTGTCGTGTTTACATTTGAGCCGAACCCAAACGAGTTTAATTGAACGGAGTTTGAGCAACTTGGTATTTTATTGCCCTTTTAAGTTTATAGAATTGAGTTTGAACTGAACTCAAAAAATCGGCGAATTTCAAAATGTGTTCAATTATGACTTATTTATATATTAAGTCATTCTTCAATTGTTTTTTTTATTAAGCCGAATATAAATTGATTTCAAATCATTTGAATTGTTTTACCATCTTAACTTAAATAGATATGCCAATAAAATGAATATTAAATTAAATAAGAAATTATCAATGTAAAAAATTATCAAGGAACCGTGGTGAATTTTTGAAATAAAATTTTCTTCTTTTTCATAGGTCTAATACTCAGATCTACAACATAATTTGCCTTATCTAAAAAATAACTAATAAGATTATGGAATACAAATTATTAAAGGCAAGTAGAAAAATAATGATGAAAGATGGAAAACAATGTGAAGAGCTGATAACAAAAAGGTGCTTAGTTAATAATTAAACAATACAATAAATATTTTAAAAGAATATGGCGATATACAATTATCAATTTGTTTGCCTATTGCTTTTCATGTTCGCTCATACATGATTAAAGCATGCATTTGGAAACTATTGCAATTATCAATTTTTGCTTATCCACAATTATGTAACAGTCACTAACTTAAAGTGTTGTAAACTACATTATAGGTTGTTTTCCCAGTCTTGGAAGATTTGAAAATTCAGGAATTGCCTAACATAATAGAGATATGGGACAAGCAATTACTCATAGCCTCAGAAAAAGAATCAAAGTCCTTCTGCCAACTGAAAGATATAGAGGTTTCCAATTGTGAGAAATTGGTACATGTGGTCCAGTTCAATATGCTCCCACGACTGCAAAATCTGAAAGCATTCAACGTGGATAATTGTCCAAAGATGGAAGCGATAGTCTCGGATAAAGAAAAAGAAGGAACCACCAGTAATGATATCATCGTGTTCTCTCAATTAACAACTCTTAATCTTTCTGAGTTGGTGAGCCTTAAAAGTTTCTACAACTGGCCTAGAAGATCTGAAGCACAACCCTTGTTCAACCACCAGGTTTGATTTTCCTAATTTATTTTATTTACCCTGGCCATGGGAAAGCATGCACGCAAACAAACAAAAAAAAATCTATTTCAATTACAATTTTAAATCAGTAGCTTATTTGAATATTCTCTTTTTACCCAAATCCAAATAAAAGTAAAATAATTTCAAGGTGGATATGCTAGGGGCCTACGATGTAAATCACAATATTACCCAAACAAAAATATGTATGAATTCTAAATTTAACACTATATTTTTATTTTGAATATGAATCTTAATATGATATTATTGGACTGAAATTATGTCCAAAATTATAATTTGCTTAACCCTGATTTGGAGTTCATTAAAAAAATATTTAAATATTGGATATCATATTTTGTTTTTTTTTTTTTTTTTTGGTTTTGACTGATATGATTTTATTCTGTTTCACAATCCAAAATTATTCCCTTGTAACCACTTTAAATTTTGATTGCAATTTCCCGATCATCAATCCTAAATTTCCTTCCTTTGGAATTATGCCTCTTGGGTTTTAAGGAAATGATAACAATTTCTACATGATTCCTAGTTGCAATATTTGAATATGGAAAAATCACTATTATAATTACTTCTAAAACCTCAAAAATGTTGAGCAATTCCTATTATAAGAGGTCACCGTTCAACTCCCACAACTTCATCATTATGAAAATGTTGATTGCCTCTGCCCAAAACATCTTAGGAAACTTCTTGGAAGTTCAATCCCGAACATTGATCCAATTTTAAAACTACATTAATTGATGGATTATGCATGCTGGTTTGAGTTGTTACTAGCAATTAATCAATAATAGCTTAAAGCTTAATCTTCTCTACTTTAGTGCTATATTTATTAGGGGCCAATGTTGCTATATCATTGTCAAGGACACAAAAACTAAGAGAAATTATTCAATGTTCTAGGAGACAAAAGTTTAAGTGTTAATCTATAAATGGAATAAAGCAATAATACTCAAAACACTAAACACATAATGAAATATAGATATCTTACAAGAGGTGAGATCCCCAAGGATGGATCTAGGGGGTGTAGAAGGAGGAGACCACAGCCCCCAAAAATTAGAAAATATCATATATTATATTAGAAAATTTAAAATAATAAGGATTTACACCTCCAAATATATGTGAGACCTATCTTTTATGAGATACTTGTATCTCATTTTTTGTTTTGTGTAGTCAAGCCTTCATGTCATGCTATGTGGCAACTTTATCTAGCCTAAAATAAAAAATAAAAAAAATTATAATTCAAAGGTGTGGTCCAATTTTGATCCCAAGACTTTGAATTTAATTAAGAACAATCTTACCACTTAGGCAACATACATATTATGATATTAATTTGTTTATTATTTATTTTTATTCTTACTTATTTGAATTGCACACACAATGTGTGTGTCACTTACTAATCATTATTTACATGATTTATCATTTTTAATAAACAAATCTATATATATATTTTTATTTTGAACACTTGGATCATGAATTTGGATAGAAATTTGGAAAGACAGAGGGAAAAAAAAAATTATATTTTGTTGACATTGCTTTTACAATTTTTTTTTTAAATCTTTACTTAAATTTATAATCCGTACATAAAATAAAATTTTGGCTCATCAACATTAGAAACATGTCTCATCAATCATCACTGACATTGAATTCCAATATACAAGCCTACTTCGTTCTGTTATTAAACAAGATGACAAAATGAATCTTTGTAGGTTTCTTTTCCAAAGTTGAAGACACTACTTCTCGATAATTGTGTAAACTCAAGAGAGATACATCCTTGGAATGTTCAGGTTGGCAAAATAAGTTTAAAATTCGTGGACGTAGCAAATCTGGACAAATTAATTGTGAGAAATTGTAGTGAGGTAGTAGAGGTTTTTCAACTTGAGGGGCTAAATGTTGGAGAAGGACAACATGTTAGGCCATTAATTGAAGTAAAAATGATGGAATTGGATAGATTACCTCAGTTGACATGTTTGTGGAACAAGGATCCCCGTAGAATTCTAGGCCTTCAAAGCCTACAATACCTAACAATTAAGAAATGTTCCCTCTTGAGAAATCTATTCACATGTTCCATCGCCATGGCTCTTCAACAACTTAAAGTACTTTATTTGGAGTCTTGTCCGGTGATGGAAGAAGTTATTGCAGCAACAGAGGATGGGCTCAAGGAAGCGATTGATGATGTGATTGAATTCCCAAAATTGGAGTGGTTAATACTGAAAGATCTACCGAACCTCAACAATTTCTGTAATGCAAACTATAATTTTAATTTGCCATCATTACAGAGAATTGTTCTGAAGAGGTGTCCGACGATGCACAACTTTACTTTTGGACAAGTACGCATGTCACAGATACTTGTAATTACACGTGGCAATGAAGGCCTTTAGACAGAAGATCTCGATAAGTATTTAGAGGAAAAACCTCTGAAAGGAGAGGTAGACTTACTTTTTCAACTTGATTTACGGTTAATTATTTTGTTAGTTGATGAACTCTTTTATCTTTGAATATTTACAAGAGACTACTCAACTGGAGTGCTTCATATGTATTTTTTGTTTATAAGTATTTTACTTTCTTTTCTTTTAGGAATGTGGAAACTTGGGTGAAATTGATTACGACGGCAACGAAAGAAAGTTCTCTAGTCTTCTTTATATATATATGTAAAGTAAGTTGATCATCCTTTATTATAAATATATATATGTATAAATTTCATAATATTTATAGGAAAATTTTATAATAAATACGTTAAAAAAAAAAGTGTATCATATGTCTAGTTATGATTCATCGGCTGAATATAATAAGTTGATCCTTTTTTATTAAAAAGAATAAAAAATTAGGCAAAGTACGGTGGTGGCCTCTATATTTTACTTCCTGTATCATTTTGGTCTCTACACTTTCAATTAACTCAATTTTAACTCCTAATTTCAGATTTTATTTTAATTTGGTCCAATTAATAATATTGTTGGCTTTTTTAAGGAAAATTATCACTAAATTGATTGAGGTTAACTAATTAAGTTGAATAAATTTATAATTTTATCTTTAAAATTATGGCACGTGCAACTTATATGCACATTTTTCATTAAAAAATACTAAGAGTTGTAATCAACTAAATGAAATTGAGACAAAATCATAAATTTATGGTCAAAATCGTTCCAATTGAAAGTATAAAGACTAAAATGACACAACGGGTAAAGTACGGAGACTGCGATGGTAAGTTGTCCAATATATATATATATATTGGGTAATGCTACCATATACAAGTTATGTTATTTGTGAGTTTGATTGTCACAAATGACATAACTCAATACTATGAGAATCGTAACCAATATATATATATATATATATTGAGTTACAACCAAACATCACATGAAATATAACCAAACAACTCTTAAATCATAATCAAAATAATTTCAAAACCAATATCACAATTTATCATAACTAACAACCCAACGGGTCATAATCAAAGATACAAAAGTGTAAACCAAAGTATAGAATTTCCCTATTATATATATATATATACATATTTCATAATTTTTGTAAGGGAATTCTATATAACACTTTGAAAAATGATGTATTATATGCCGGACTTTTTGTGGCCATTGGTTATGACTCATTTAGTTATAATTAATTGTTGATGTTATTTTGGTTATAACCAAAGAAATCTTTGATAATACCTCAAGTAATATTTGATTACGGTACATTTTGGTGTTTATTATAACTTCTTGGAATATTGGCTATAATTTAATTATGACTTATTGTAATTGTTATTTTGGTTTAACCGGAGAATTTATATTTAATTATGATTTATTGCGGTCCTTCTGCTTATGATTGAAAGTTGTATTAAAATCACAAAAAATATCTTAACTTGCATGTGGTACACATACACTCCAAAATAGGAGTGTGTTTTGTAGAAGCTCTCTTTATTTGGCATGTTTGGTGTAGCTGGTAAGCTAAAAGTTGATAACAAAAAAATAAATTAAAAAAAAAAAAAAACACCCCCTCCTCCATGTCCTAAATAGTCTTCTTATGCTTTTAGTTTGTTTAAATTATTTTGGTTATGTAATATATAAATAAAAGGTTCACTAAACAATCTAACACATTTTAAAAATATATATATTGTAAATAACTCAAATAATCTGTACTAAATATCCTATTATAATATTGCTAAACTCTTGGCACTAACAACTTTTTAATGTATATTTATATATATCTAGACAAGCAATTGGTATTGGCAGTTAGCAAACCTTTTTCCTGTTAGGACACTCCGCTGCCTTGGTGCAACTTGAGTTCAGGTTTAACTCTCTTACTATAGGCTATCTTAAAAAAAGCATGAATTTGTGGAGGGATTCTGGATTCAAATAAAAAGAAAATAAAAAAGATAAAAAGAAAATGATGTAAAATACACTACATTTATTTTTTTTCTCTTGAGAAATATGCAATGTAGAAATTAATCATTCCCCCCCCCCCAAAAAAAAAGAAGATGAAAAAACAAAACAAAACACATAACACAAGATATACATGATACATTCTAGTCCTCTCCCTTCATAAAAAAACTCAAGACAATAAATTTGAACATGTAGTAAAAAATAATAGATAATTTACAACAAAATTCAAAATCCAAACATAATGTTAAGATTTGAGTCCCTTTATTAAAAATTTTCTAAAAAAAAAAACTAATCAAAAGGTACCTACATATTAATTCAATATGAGAAATTATTTGAATTTTTATTTTATTCATTAGTCTCTTTCACAAATCACTTCTCAAATGCAAAATCTAAAAGTCCATATTAAAAAATTTTGAATTTTGTTTTCTTAAATGATTAACTTCAAAATGCTTTTTGTAGTTATAAAATCTCCATGTATCTTCCAATAATTTTTTGGAGGGAATTGTGTGATGACAGGGCCCATTCTTCATTCTGTTCCTCTTTGTTTAACCTCGGTCTACTATTGGTATAGCGTCGGATTTTAGTGTAAGGTTTTGCTTTGACTGTTGAATTGTTGTTTTCTCAAAAAAAAAATTTCATTTTTATTTACTGTTATTTCGAGTTTCACGTGTTTCGGAAGGTGTGAGGTTGTGTTTAGTGTGTTTTTGGGTTGAGCTGGAGATTTTCTAGGTTGAGGGCTGAGCCACACGTGCAGAAATCAGGGGATTTATGGGCAGCATACTGCATTATATGCAGGTGCGGGAGTGGAAGTGCAGAGGAGGGGACCGCACGTGCGGGGATGAAGGCCGCATATGCGGGAAGCACGCTCCGCACGTGCGGGAGTGAGTGCCACACGTGCGGGAATTCCTGAGTCCGAAAATTCTGTTTTTCTTCCTTCTTTTGGGCTATGAATATCACTTTTAAAATATTTCCTTCTCACTCTAAAAATGTTTTGCTCCTCCTTCTCTCTAGATACCTCCACCAAACAACAAAAACCCTTGATTTCTTGCAATCCATTGGGTTTTGATCCATCATCCTTCACAAGTTTTGGAGAACAAAGAAAGGACTTCACTTTGTGTGGTGGAGATCAAAGTTCTACACCTTTGATTCTAGGGTTTCATCTCATCTTTTCAACAAGATTGAGGTAGGGATCTTTCTTTGAGTTACATATGTATTTTTGCAAGATCTTGATGATTTTCGAAATCCCCTTTAATAGCTTGAAATTTTGTTGATGGCTCAAGAAGAAGAGTGATCTTTGAAAATGGGTTACCCCTCTTTTTTTTATATATAATTACATGAGGGTTTTAGATTTCAATTGATAGAAGAAAGATGCCTTGGTTGTGATTCTTTCAAATGTTTTGGAGATGTGAGATTGTAGTGAGAAAAAAACCTAGAAAAAATTGGGGGTTTTAAATGATGTTGGGAATTTATGAATGAAATGGCCATATTTCCTTTGGGGGCCAAAATGAATGAATGTTTCTTTTATTTAGAAAATTCTTCTTTATGTTTATATAAATGTTGAGTTCCATGAAATATGAGAATTGTGATTTTGGGAGTTGATGCTTAAAACATTGCATATAGTCTTGAAATGACTAAATTGTTGAGAATTGTACAAGATGAAGAAATGTTGCTACGTGTTGATAGATTTAATTGAACATGTGGTTATTTTGTGAAATAACATTGAAGAGAAAATAATGGGAAATGTGGTTGTTATGGTATTATTGCTGAGATACTTAAAAATGAAGAAATGTTATGAGGCATTGATAATTGTTGAATTACATACTTATTCAATTGATTATTATACATTCTGAATTGAGTTTGGAAATGTTCACATTGAGAAAAGAATATTTTGAGATGAGACTATTGAAATGTTTTGGGATAAATACGTTGGTAAGTCCGGATAGGAGGCGTTGTAGCGCCCTTAAAATAATACATAAAACCCATCATTTTAGAGATGCAATGATACAAGAGAAATAAACATCTTTCCATTAATCAGAGTGGTTCTTACAAACGTATTACATGTTAACAACAAAAGCAAATGCCCTACGGGCTTACAGCTTTCCAAGTTAACACTTGGTTACAAAAAGAAGAGTGCTAACTCAATACATATTAAGCCCTTGGCTTGCATTTACATGTAATACATCAAAAGAAACAAACAACAAAAAGCAGTCTGTCTGCCTCTAGCCTCCCAAGCTATGTCCTTGGAGGTGGCATGCTACCTGTACCTGAAAATGATGTCCCATAAAGGGTGAGCCACAGCCCAGTAGAAATACACTAAACCAGCTATGAACAATGACTAAAAGATTAGCAGTTGATAGATGGTCAACACCGATACACTCACTTATATCACATTTCAGTTTCATGACATTTAAGTCCATGTTACACTTTATTTCTTATTTCTTTTTCTACCTTGAGTTTGACAACCAGGCCCAAAACTTAGCCAAATAACTTAATGAGAATAAGACTCATCTTTAAAACACTTTCGAAATTCATGATGGAGACACATTTTGATGCTGTATCAATAACACATAAACCACTTCCATACTGTACGAACGATACACATTTTGTGCTGTATCAACATAACATAGAAACACTTCTATACTAGGCTCAAACTTAGCCAAATAACTTAATGAGAATAAGACTCGTCTTTAAAACACTTTCGAAATTCATGCTGGATACACATTTTGATGCTGTATCAATAACATATACATAAACCACTTCCATACTGTATGAACGATACACATTTTGGTGCTGTATCAACATAACATAGAAACACTTCTATACTTCACAATTGATAACGATATACATTTTAGTGCTATATCAAATCAATTTAAACACTTCCTTGATCAACACTTGATACACATTGTAGTGCTGTATCAATGTCACACACAATCTGGTTTAGAGGTCCATCCCCTATCTCCTCCCACATACACACCATGTATATAAACGTAGATCATATACATAAA